TGCAGACCCCTGATGGGGAGGGGCAAAGGGAAGGCGGTCTTGGGGTGGAGCCCTGAGCTGGACTCAGGCTGGAATGTGGGGGTGCCGATGCTCTCTGCCTTCCAACCTCCCACCCCGGCCGCGGGTGTCTAGGACCGGGAGAACCCCCTGGAGCTGCGTCTGTCCGGCTCGGGACCCGCAGAGCTGGCGGAGCTGAGCGCCGGCGAGGATGACGAACTGGAGTCAGAGCCTGTGTCCAAGCCACTGAACTGGCTGAGCAGCCGCAGAGTCTCCAGTACGAAGTGGAGCTGAGCTGGGTGGGCTGGGGTGCAGGGAAGGAGGGGTCGTCCGGTTGGAGCTCACGCTCCTTGGTGCGGCAGGTCGGAGTGCAGAGGGCACTGAGCAGAAGAACCGTGTGCGCAACAAGTTAAAGCGGCTGATCGCCAAGAGACCAACCTTGCAGAGCCTTCAGGAGCGGGGCCTGTTCCGAGGTAGGCCGGGCTGGGACCGCTGGGGCACTGCGCTCTTCGTGCAGGCTTTACTAGGGTTTCTGTTTTGTGTAGATTTTGGGTTTCTGGTTTTATTATTGTTAAAACAGCCTCTCAGTATTTAATCCCAGGGTCTTCCTCAAATTTGGGCACCAAACTGGGTGGTGGCGCCTCTAATCCTGTAATCCCAGCACTCAGGTGGAGCTCAGAGTTCGAGGCCAGCCTGGTCTACAGAGCGAGTTCTGGGACGCTCAGGGCTACATAGAGAAACCCTCTCTGGAATAAATAAATAAATGAAAAGAAGCGCCATGCCAACCCTGATAAAGTGTGTTTTCAGAATTTTGTATTCCCAATCTTAACATTAACTGAAACTCTAGTGAGATGTAAAGTAGGACTTCCAGACATCCCTGCTTTCCTCCTCTTCCTCATTATTTGAGGAGCAGAGGGAGGGTGCCCTTGCCCCCTACGTGGCAGCAGCCCCAGTGTCACCCATTGAAGACCTTTACTGATGTCTCCCCCAATCCTCTGCAGACCAGGTGTTTGGTTGCCAGTTGGAGTCGCTGTGCCAAAGGGAAGGGGACACCGTGCCCAGCTTTGTCCGGCTTTGTGTTGAGGCTGTGGATAAAAAAGGTTGTTTTTTCCAAAGACTCCAAAAATCTCCCCTTTCAAGCCCAGGAGATACCCCCTCATCTCTGCCTTCCTACCAACCCTTTTCTCCCTCAGATCTCTCTCTCTCTCTCTCTCTCTCTCTCTCTCTCTCTCTCTCTCACGAGTCCTCATTTTCCCTATGCCTCTCCTCCTAGGTCTAGATGTGGATGGCATTTACCGGGTGAGCGGGAACCTGGCGGTAGTCCAGAAACTTCGTTTCCTAGTAGACAGAGGTGAGGCAGTAGTGGATTTAAGAGCCTGGTACCTCAGAACCGAGATTGGTTCTGAGGGAGGGAGTGGGAACTGCACGTCTCAGCTGCTGGTCTCTTCTTGTGTGTGTTACAGAACGGGCAGTAACCTCCGATGGGAGATACATGTTCCCCGAACAACCTGGACAAGGTACTTTCGTGGGAAGCCCCTCACACTCAAAGAAACTAACTTATACGCCCTCTTTGTCCTCCATGGAACCCTCCCATGTCCTGCCCCTACAAAAGCTGCCCCATCCTCTCCTTTGTTATGGTGCCCTACTATGGGCTATCGACACATTGTTGTGACCTGTCTCGATTGGATTCCCCCTGAATCCTACCTTTGAGACTGGGTTTTCCTGGCTCCTCTGAGCCTGCAAACCAAGGAACCTCTTTGTCCTTCTAGAAGGCAAATTAGATTTAGACAGTGCCGAATGGGATGATATCCATGTGGTCACCGGGGCCTTGAAGCTTTTTTTCCGGGAGCTGCCACAGCCTCTGGTGCCTACTCCATTGCTGCCACATTTTCGTGATGCCCTCGGTAAGAGTCAAGAACTTAGGGCAGCTTGCCTGACATGGGATGACTTGTGTAGCAAAGAACAGAACAGAGGGTCCCTTCTATCTCTGCTTACAAGGATGGGAAATAGTTTACATGCCAACTCTAGTTTTTTTGAGGCAGAGGGGGAGAAATGTGTGTGAATGTTTAGAGGGCTGAGCTGAAGACAATTCTGAAAGTCACACTTGAGCCACGTGAAAGAGTGGAGGGTTATAGCTTAGCAGTAAATTTTGTGTTTATCATATGTAAGGCCGTGGTGGATTGAATCTCTTGTACCAAAGTGTGGGGGGGGCGCGGTGTTAGACAAGTGATATTGTTCATGGACATGGGAAAGAGTGAATTTACCCACCCTGTTTTATCACTCTCCCTAACCTCACTCCCCTATCCTTCCTGTTGCTCTCTCTAGAACTTTCTGAGCCAGATCAGTGTCTCTCTGAAATGAAAAAGTTAGTGGACTTGTTGCCGAAGCCCAACCGTGACACACTGCAGTACATTCTGGAGCATTTATGCAGGTCAGGAACTGAACGGCCTTGTTCATGCTGGGGAAGGTGGAGTGGGCCTTCAGTGGGGGCTCTGTCTGATCAGAGAGCGTGGAGATAGGGGCACACTGACATGTGCCCAAGTACACGATAAGACCGGGGATACTATGAGAGAAACACGGGAATTCTCTCTTCCTTCCCTGGCTTTAGTCTCCCACTGGGGCAGGGTGACTTATTTAGTTGAACGAAAGCCTCTCAGGTTGTGAGCAGAGAGGATTCTGGGGTTGTCCCTGGAACTGAGAACCTAGCAGTTCTACCTGACCTGTGCCTCCAGCTTGTGTCCTGAAGCTCTCTCCTGGCCCATCTCTGCTCCTCTTTAGGTCTGTACTTGTTCCTTCAGTCAGCATGTGGAGGGATCCCAGAGCGATCCCTGCCCTGCCCATACCTAATGGGGCTGTACTGGTTTGTAGTGGGTAGTAGCTACTGCCCATTTCCCGTTCCTTGGCTTTGTCCTCAGGGTGATCGCACACTCAGATGAGAACCGAATGACCGCCCACAACCTGGGAATTGTGTTTGGACCAACGCTGTTCCGCCCAGAGCAGGAGACCTCTGACATGACAGCCCACGTGTTCTACCCCGGGCAGCTGATCCAGCTGATGCTTAACAACTTTGACAGCCTCTTCCCCTGACCGGGGCGGGCGAGGGCGAGGACATCTCCTCCCATCTGTTAGACAGTCTTCAGAGACTTCGACAGCCTCTTCCCCTGACCAGGGCGGGTGAGAGCAAGGGAAAGGACACCCCCCTCTATCTGTCAGCCAGTCTTCAGAGACTTGGAAACCTCTTCACCTGACCCAGGCATGGGTGAGGGACAGGACATCTCCCTCGATCTGTCAGCTGGTCTTCCTTCGGAGACTTCCATAGCCTCTTCACCTGACCCGGGCAGGCAAGGATGAGGAAAAGGACATCTCCTGCCATCTGTCATCTGGTCTTCGGAGAGGGATGGCAGGTCTTCTGCTTTGAAGACATCTTGTAAGCCCTCTCCCAAAGGACACTCTCCCACTTCCCGAGTCCTGTCTGAGCCGTGGGAGTTTTCTGGAGAGGAAGGCACGTGAGCCCCATGTCCACTCTCCCCAAGATGACCCATAAGGTACTTGTTCTCAGCATTCCTTTATTGTCAGGAAACTGTCATTATTATTAAAGTTTTCTCCTGGAACATACATAGACTAAATAGAGTTCCCCAGCCCAATCCTCCCATTCCCGGGCACCTCATGTGGCCATCTAGGAAACATGATCCGGTTGGGACTCCTTATCCTTTTAGGTACTAGAGTTGAGGAATTGTGTCTCTCCCGGCAGAGACCCCAGTAAGACACTCATGTTACCCACTGCCATGTTGGGGGTCCCAGAGGGAGGTGGGGTATTTTTAGAGCTGTCCCCTTGCTCGTGGGAAGGAGGAGGACTCAACCCCTGGGCCTCATCCAGAATAGCCACGAAGTCCAGCTGAGTGCTGTCCAGGTCAAGAGAATCCAGAGGGTTGGACACCTGCCCTTCAGGGGGAGGGTACAAGGCAGGGCCTGCTCCCAATCTGCCCACTTCAGGATGGCCACAGCTGGGGTTGGCGCCCCCTACCTTGAGAGGTCCATAGCAAGAAGGCAATGGGGGCAGAAGCCTGGGTGGCACTGCTGCTGGCCTATGGGAAGGCCTGTTTATACCCACTGCAAAAGTCTCATGGCATGGCGAAGGGGCCGGAAAGGAGCCGGGCTTGTGACTGGCCAGAGCAGGTGCAAAGCCAGATCCGTAGGCAGCTGCTGGACCCTTGACAGGGCTCTGATTAGCCTGGGAACCCCCCAGAAACTTGGAGCTCTGATATGGAAGTTCCTGGTTGGGGAGCCCTCCCCGGCCCTTGCCCTCCCACAGCAACTCCTGCTGCGACTGAACGTAATTACACACAAGCTGAGCTTTGAGCTGTCCTTCAGAATGAGAAGGGGAGTCAAAATCAAGGCCAGGCCTGTGTTCTGACGGGAGATAATCATGGGGAGGCCGAGGGTAGGGACCTGACTGGGGATACTGGGGAGGAGGGGGTTGGGAGTAATGGGAAAATGAAGGTTGCGGGCCTGGGGACCCCTCTGTGGGGTGGGCATTGAGGCAGGGTGCCAGTCCGGTGGAGTTAGACCCCACCAGGCACCCTTGTTCTGGTTTTACCTGCACTTGTCCATAATGTTCAAGTCGAGGACACTGGATATAGGCTCCAGTTGGAGCCTTAGTGCCAGGATACATCCCAGAATGGGAAGGAAACTCACTCCATGTTTCTGGGGTAGGATCAGGATAGGAGACCTGCTGGGGACAGTGGCTAGGGCCATAGCTGGTCAGTGGACCAGGCCCAAGAGCCAGGGACCCGGGACCCCTAGCCTCATAGGGCTCAGCCCATGCTGCCTCAGGTCCCCCGTATCCCAGCGAGTCAGCAGATGGAAAACCCATGTACTGGTTCAGACCATTGCCCATCACAGACGCCCCAACCTCTGGCTCCTCCTGAAGCCCTCTAGTGTCCATAGCAACATTCTCAGTGATACTGGGAGGCTGTGGTGAATAGACAGAGGTAGGAAGGTGGGGGTCGAAGTTCCTTCCCGTTGCCGCGCTAGGGGGCGTGTGGACACATCCCAAGCTCTTAAACCGCTGGACTCTGGCTGGAGCTGGGTGGTCAGCAGCCCCGGCTGGGTCACTGGCCCTCCGGGTGACCCCTGCATTGGGGTTGTATCCTGGGTACTCAGCTCGGCTTCTCCAAGAAGGTACAGGAAGATGCCCCATCCGATCCAGGCTGTGTGCCGCAGTGGGTGGGGTACCACTCCCCCTGGCTGAAGCGTATCTGGCACGGAGCATGTAGTGCTGGGCAGGCGTGAGGCCAGGTAGGGAGGACACCCCATTCTCTGGTGGGGATCCAGGTGGGAAAGGGGAGGCCAGGGAGGAGCGGCGGCTGACCGTGTAAGCGGAACTGATGCTGCTAGAACTGCTGCTGCGGTGGTCGAGGGAGCCCGGGGGACCCAGCCGGCGAGACACCGGTGTGCCTGCAAATGACAAGAGAAAAGGCAGGTGGTAGGGAACCCCTGTGGTTCCCACCCTGCCTATCCCACAGGTTAGCCTTGACCTGGAGCCCCAAGGTAAAAGAGTCCTAGGCTTCTTCGCCCTAACCATGCTGTTTGTCTCCCTTCAGCAAGGATTCCGGGCAGTTATTATCTTGTACACGGCTGCAGTTATAGAGATAATGTACCACAGATGCATTGAACACTTTTTTTTTTTTTTTTTTTTTTGGTTTTTCAAGACAGGGTTTCTCTGTGTAGCTTTGGAGCCTATCCTGTCACTTGCTCTGGAGACCAGCCTGGCCTCGAACACAGAGATCCGCCTGCCTCCCGAGGGCTGGGATTAAAGGCGTGCACCACCAACACCCGGCGGCCTTGAACACTCTTGCTGCCCCGGTCTCCATAGTGGTGGAACTACAGGTGCACAACCACCATGCCTAGATATATATTATAATTCTCTGGTCAATGGAAGGAAAAGTATCTTCAAGGAAGGGGGAATATTTTTCAGATGATAAAAAGATGCCATGTGGCAACTCAAAGGGTGACCTTATCACTTCAGCTTCAGGACAGGTCCACAGCTCAGCTCAGCAACACCTCCCACACCCAGGTCTCACCAGCATGGGTTAAACTGGGCAGTTTGAGACCCCGGGACCCTAATGGCCGGAGCTGATGCAGCTGATCCAGCCTGAGGTTCTCCAGGCGGTGAAGTGTGGAAAGTCCAGTGCCAGCAACACAAGGTCCTTCATCCAAGCTGGACAGGTCCTCAGTGCTGCCCCCTGCGTTGCCAGTCATCTCCACACCGCTGTCGGTATTGGCTGCACTGCCTGCTGGGGAGTGGTCACTGCTGCAGGAGGACTGTGCTCCGGGGCTCTGCTGTGGTTTCTGTGAGAAGGTTGAGAGCAGAGGGTGGTACCCACCCCCTACCACTTCCCCTTGGGGAGTGGCGGAAGCCTGTGTCCCAGTGGTTTGCAAGAGCTGAGGGCAGTCATGCAAGGGTAGAGAGGACTGAGCAGGCGGGAGGTTAGGGTGAGCTGGAAGAAAATGGGATGGGCCCCTGCTGCAGTAAAGAGACCCAGGGCTCCATTCCCCCTTAGTTCTATGACCCTGACCCTGACAACTTATCTTTGCCTGTTTGCTCTTTTGAAGAAAACATGAAATATGTGCACCTAAGGCTTGGAACTACATAGTTAAGTGCTACTTAAGATCGAGTCCATAGGGGGGCTGAGGACTTGCTTAGTGGTGGAGAATTTGCTTGCATGTGTTCATATTCCCAGAAGCACCCCCCCCAAAAAAAAAGTGAATATGTCCGACCAATTAAAGAATTGACAATTGTAACAGCATTCTTAGATCTGGTGTCTGTGCCATGGAGCAACACTAAAACTAGAGACAGGCAGGCTGGCCGCAGAAGACTGCATATAGAAGGGGATGCTTCTAGGACAGGCTGGAAAGAGGGGAAGGAGGGCATGATGGGATATGGAGGCAAGACTTCCTAGGCTGGCTCACCATGGCACCCTCGGGCACAGTCAATCTGCTCTCTTCCCTGATGGGCCCTCCTTCCCTTTCCCGCTTGGGCTCCACCGTGGAAAGGGACGGTGCCCGTGGCAAAGGGCCGTCCCCTCGATGCCTCTTGGTCACGTGGGCATCAGGACCATGCACCGTCTTGACATGTTTGCGGAGTGAGCTGGGATCCGTGTAGCGCTTGGTGCAGCCAGGCAGCTTGCATACATACGGCTTCTGTCGAGTAGTAGCATTGCCGAGCCAGAAAGTCAAGGGACAAAGGGCAGAACACAAATAGAATGGGGTAAGTGAGGGAGGACACACAGCCTTCGAGCAAGAAAGAGTATTGTGAGCCCCCGGTAGAGTAAATCAGGAGAGGCTTACAGAAGAGTTAAGAAAATAGATGGTGTGGGCTAAAGAAAAAAGAGGTGACACCCTCCCCCCTAAGGCTGTGAGATCACATAAATTCAGAAGTTGAAGGGTCAGGGGTCTACTGTACACTGACCCTTTGGCTGGCTGGGACTTCTCCCAAGTGTTCCTGGTGTAAATTACATTGTAGGGGAACTTGCCGCTGGAGTTAAGGAGCTCTTTACCAGGGGAATCACATAGAAGGTAGCGTCTCAAATGGGAAGAGTATAGTTTGGGCATTCACCTCATTGGAGTGCGTCCGATTCTGGTGCTTGGCGCGGTCACTGGCATTGCTGAAGGCCTTGCTGCAGCCTTCATGCTCACACATGTAAGGCTTTTCACCCGTGTGTGACCGAAGGTGCGTCTTAAGGTTTTCAAGGCGGGAATATGACTTCCGACAACCTTCAAACTGGGGGACAGGAAAGGAGTCAAGTAACATTTCTCAGACAGGACACAGAGATTTAAGGGTTTACACCAGAGAATATAACTAAAAATGGGGAGACACAGGAACCCCAGAGAATCCCAGGAGTTGGTTGGGCACAAGGGCAGAGAAAGGTGGAAACGCTCAGGGTAGGGGATGGCTGTTAAGTAGGGAACATCTTGGAGCAGGTCCCCCTGTATAGAGTTCAGACTGTCCTAAAGTGAAATCATGAGTGTCCTAGAGCAATGACGTAGGGCCTATCCACCAGGCAAGGTAGTAGCAAGAGTACTAAGGGGCCCACATAAGGGATTTATAAGTATGTTTTCATTTATGTTATTATTTTGTTTTTTTGAGACAAGGTTTCTCTGTGTAGCCCTGGCTATCCTGGAACTCACTCCAGAGTAGACCAGGCTGACCTCCATCTCACAGGGATCTGCTTTCCTCTGCCTCCCAAGGGCTGAGATTAAAGGCGTGTGCCACCATGCCCAGCACATATTTTCATTTCTTTTAAAATCAAAGGGAAAAAGTTTGTTTGATCCAAAACTTAATTTTGTTTTGTTTTTGTTTGCTATTTATTCATCTATGAGATGATAGTGTCATTGTGTAGTCCTGACTAGCCTGGAACTCATCATGTAGACCATACTGGCCTTGAACTCACAGAGATCTGCCTGCCTTTGCTGCCTAAGTGCTAGGATTAAGGGTATGTGCCATTAGGCCTGGTTTGTTTTGTTTTTCTTTTGAGACCTGGCCTCAAACGCTTGATCCTCTTGCCTCAGCTTTCCAAGTGCTAGGGTTACAGGCATATACCACCATACCAAGAACATATTTTAGGGCCAGCAAGATGGCTCAGTGAGTAGAGGAGTGTGCCACCAAGCCTGCCAACCTGAGTTTGATTCCCCAGGACCCACATGGTGGAAGAAGAGAACCAAGTCCTGCAAATTGCCCTCTGACCTCCACACAGACACCCTGGAATGCAAGACTCCACCACCCCATAAAATGTAACTGAAAACATTTTAATAGATATCAATGTGCTCATCTTTCTATCAATACAGTCTTCAGCAAGATGTTTAAACATCTGCTTATGAAGGAAGGGACTTTGAAGGCAAATGTCTACCTTGGACCCTACCTTGATTTGGCACCAATATGGGGAGGGATGGGTGCCTCACCGTGCACTTGTGCGGCTTCTCGCCCGTGTGTCTACGCATGTGCACCACCAGCATGTACTGGGCTTTGAAGGGTCTCAGCTCCCTGGAGCAGCCCCCCCAATGGCACACGAACTCCTTCCGCTCCCCATGGATATGTTCACTGTTGATATGCTGAGGAGGGAGAAGACGAGGCTTTCTGGGGTTCCCGATGCCACCCAAACCCGGGACATATCCCTTTCGTTCAGCCCCCCATTCATCCTCCTCAGCACTGCCTCCTGGGGGAGTTAAAGGTCAGGAAGGCAGCATATCCCACACTTGGGGTCTTTTAGCCTTCTATAGAAAAGCTACTCCAAGCTTTGGGTTGCAGGATTGAGCATGCCATCTCTGACCCCAGGATCCTTGAACCACCTGCTCTGCCCTTGAGCAGACCATATTGACCCACTCAGTCTCCTACAGGCTCCCACCAACCATCTGTCATCCCCTGGGGCTCACATGCACCAGCTGCTCCTGGGAGTCAAACTCCTGGCTGCAGCCATCCCAGCGGCAGTCAGTCTCATACACAGATTCAGGCTCAGGTTTCTCCTCCAGGTCCTCCCGCCCATCAAGCATCCCAAGCAGGGGATCCTAGGGCAAAGGACACACTCTTAGGGTCATGGGTGGCAAGTTTTGTTTTGCTCAGGTCCCACAGAGAGCACCCTGCCCTTTCCCTTACCTGTGTGCCTGTGGAGTTGGGGCTAGACATGTCCCCTTCCAACGGCTCCTCTGGGCATTTGCCTACCAGCATGTCCAGCTCTGACTTCAGCTTCTCCAGGGAAAGAGGTGAGGGTAGTGAGGATGGAGTAGTCAGAAGGGAAAGCGTGCCAGGTTTTTCTGCCCTATGGGCCCCCACCCAATAGCAGGACTCCTGTGAGTGTGGAAGGACTTCCTCCACAGCCCGCACTGGCGAATGGGATGGACAGGTGTGCTCTCATCTGAGAAAGTCTGAGTCAACCCTGCTGAGGGAAGGGGTGGGGCTGCCATCTATACCTCTACCTTCCCAGTACCAAAGGCTTTTATGTGTACTGGCTTCCTTCACCTGCCCCGCTGCTGCTAAGTCTACTACCCACCTATCCTGAGTCGGGGAAGCCAAGTAAGATGGCAATGTGGAGAGTCCCACCTGGCAGGTCTGACGTGGTCTCCGGGACTGAGGATGCAGCATCATTGCACCCCGAGTAGAGTCTTGTGGAACACAGGGCTGGACTCCATAGGAAGGCGAAGTCCCTTTTTGGTGACTCATCTGGGGTGGGAATCCTAGAGATGGGCTAGATGAAGAGGAGGCTGTTATTTAAGACTATCAGTCATCGGAATCCTTGCTCTATTTTGTGGGTTTCTGGAAGGCTTGGTTGAGTAAGCCCAGGGAGATTCTGAAAAGGGTTCCCCTTTGGGAGGGTTAGGGGTTCAAGTTGGGCTGGAGGTTTGAAGGGTCCGAGTCTTCTAATGGGTTTCAGTACATATTTTAGGGGTCTCTTAGTTTGAGGTGCCAGCACCTCATGGTGCCAATGGAGAGATGGCCATAGGAGCCTCCTGGAGATGTGCAGCGTGAGTTGATGAAAGCCACAAGAGAGCTGGGTGAGGTACGGATGACAGTCTGTAGATCCAGGCTGGCATCGGACAGAGGTGAGATGGACAGTGCCCGCTTCTTTGTCAATTTGACTGAACTCCGGGGAGGAGGAAAGAGTGGCCCTAGGGCAGGAGATAGGAGTCAAGAAACAGCAAAGGGGGCTGGAGAGGCAGCTCAGTGGTTAAGAGCACTAGCTGCTCTTCCAAAGGACTTGAGTTTGGTTCCCAGCACCCACACCAGCACAACCACCTATAACTCCAGCTCCAAGGATGCCCCGCACCTTTGCAATCACATGTGCAAACCCACACAGACACAAACACATACATTATTTAAAAAAATAAAATTTAGGGGCCTGGAGAGATGGCTCAGAGGTTAAGAACACTGGCTGCTCTTCCAGAGGTCCTGAGTTCAATTCCCAGCAACCACGTGGTGGCTCACAACTGTCTGTAATGAGATCTGGTGCCCTCTTTTGGTGTGCAGGCAGACACGCAGGCAAAACACTATATACATAATAAATTTTAAAAATTTTCAGAAAGAAAAGAAAGATGCAGTAAAGGTACATGCACTCAGTATGTGGGGCCTGACTCAAAAATTTATTTATTTATTTATTTATTTATTTATTGGTTTTTCGAGACAGGGTTTCCCTGTGTAGCTTTGGAGCCTATGCTGGCACTCTGCTGGGCCTTGAACTCACAGAGATCCGCCTGCCTCTGCCTCCCGAGTGCTGGGATTAAAGGCGTGTGCCACCAAGAATTTTTTTATTTTATTATTAATTAATTTTTTAATTTTTATTTTATTATTAATAAAGAATTATTTATTTTATTATTAATTAATTTTTTAATTTTTATTTATTTATTTTTTTTGCCTTGCTCAACCTAGGACTTCTTGATGGCTCTCTGATCCCTGTCATCTCTGGGCACTTCTTCCATTGATCTTGGTCCTTGCCTTCCCACTTCCTCCTTCCGAACAAGTCCCAGAGGGGCAGAGAGGGGACAGAGATCGCCTGAGTCCTCACCCTCAGAACAGCCGTTGGTCTCTCTGGCAGACCCATAACCCTGGGACCCTGATATAAAGTTGGCTTGGTGGCAAAAGGGCAAACCAGAAAATCCTAGAAAAGAGAGACAGCTGGAATGGGGCATTTGGATGGGGACACACAGGGCTTACCTTGAGACCCCACGTGAGATATGACCCCCAGCTCCAAGCATGCATGGCATGGGGTCTCAAATCCTCCTGTAGATAGGAAACTATTGTGGGGGAGGAATGAGGCTGAGAGGGATCCTAGGTGAGAGATCCGCCAAGCCCTCAAGGCCCAGGGACTGGTAAACACACTCACCTTCTGTCCCCAGGCTGGGGACCCCTTGGCTGGGGAGGGGTCGGAGGCAGCACGGCTCACCATAGCTATTGGCTTGTGGTGGAGTCATTGAGTTGAACATGGTGTCTCAGAGGCGGATGAGGGGCACTGCAGAAAGGAATGCAGATTTGCAAAGTTATAACCATGGTGAGAAACTAGATAAATGGCAATCTCAGGCCAGCATGTCCCTCGTGCCCCTAACCTCTCTCTCAGAGACTGGTCATGGAAATCAAGTTGAAAATAATATCATTCAGCGGCGTTAAAATAGGAAGAAACAGCCCCAAGGGCAGGCAGAAGCAGCCTGTCCGTCTTGGGAATCTTTTGGGGGAACAGGTTAAGGGCCTCGTGGTCTGTGTATGCACAAGGGGAAGTTATGGACTAATTGATCCAACATAAATTCCAAGTGGTTTTAATGCCTTGATCCCTCCATTACTTCTCGTTCTGACCATGGCTAGCTTTGAAGAGTGATGGAGGAACACTGACTTCATCATGCCCAGGGCTGCTTGCTCGCTCTGAGCCCCAGCCCAAGAACGCATATGCAAACTCCCCAGTGTCCAGTAGAGGGAGACCTCGCTTCAGTGCAGATTGGCTGGTGGGGCCAGAAGAGAACACACAACTGATCTGTCCTCTTAGCCGAGAGAACTCTGTGTGGGAGGGAAAAGGGCTTCGCAGCAGAGTGTCTCCCGTCTGTTGAGTAAAAAGGATAGAGGCTAAAGTCATTCTGCGGCGGTTTGAGTCTGGACCTACCTAACCCTTTTGGTCTGTGGACGGGGGAGTGGATAGGAACTTTGGGGAGGAGCTTAATGAGGATGAGAAAACCAAGTCCTCTATTGGAAAGGATCAAGACAGCAGGGCGAGGGTGCTTTAGGGTGTGGGGGGGGCACAGTGGGGAACGGAACCCGGACCCTACGACCCAGCCCAAGTGCTGCAGCCGGGCTGTACCTATGCTAACTCCTCCTTTTCCAGCTGAGACCCGGATCCCGCATCCAAGACCTCCCAGCTCGACCCTGGCACTCACGTTGGGGGTGGGGGGCACAGCTGGCTGGCAGCTGGATGAGGGGGCATGTCTCCTGCCGCCTCCGCTGTGACTCACTCAAGGCAAGAGGGAAGACCTGTAAACGACCCCCAGACACTAGATGCCCTCTCAGAGATAGATGTCACTCTTATTATCTTCCTGTCCCACTGCCGGACCACCCCAGGAGACACGGTGAAAAGGG